ATGGCGAAGATATCTGAAGAAACGGACGAAAGGAAACTGCACAAAATTGATTAATATTCAACCTACTTTTGCCTCCATTTTAGAGACACGAACCGCACGATCATCGCGTAGCTCGTCCAAGAAATCTTCTCGATTCACTTGGTCTAATTCGGCCATTACATCGAATTCTGGATCGTCTGAATCATCATATTCATCCTCCCGGAGATCACTCGGGACCGCGTTGGTCCAGTCCGCTGCCCGAGTTTCGTTATTTGAACAGCCGTGCGCTGGTGTACTGGGAGTATCGCTTGAATTTGCGGGTACCGTAGAACTATGGGGCTATTTTAGTAAATAAAAGTGCATAAGGAATAGATGTGAAACAGATGGAAAAGAAACTGGAGTCGTAAATCAAATGCAGTTACCTCTGGCGTAAACGTTAGCAAAAACTAGTGTTACGCAGCTCATTTTCGTACCAGATATTCATTTGCTGTATGGGAAGTTTAGGTGCAGAAAATGGTAAAAACAGGACGAGCGGAAGACGTGCGAATATTAGGGGTGGGTATCTTATCCTTATCCATGCACTCTAGTGCTTCCGAGTGTATGGTTGACTCGAAGAACTGAGGAATTTGCGTCGCCGCGAAGTTTGGTGGATATTCAGTTCAAATCAATATCAATTGTCCCACACCACCACTCCCAAGTACCTGTGAGTTAAATACGAATTAAAACAACGTAAGCACACTAGTGGTTACAATATGCTGTAAAAAGCCGATTGAGATTATGATCGCCACCTACAGGACAAATATTTATTACGTTCAGAAGTTGATCTAACGACTGATGAGTAGCTGTACCGTCCTTCTGGAGCACTGTAAGTAGGGCTTACTTTCTATATTCCTACGGGTAACCGAACCGCGCAAGAGCCTACAGTGACAGCTGAAACCCTTACTCGTGAACTTATCCGTCAGTGACAAACACTGAGTTTATAGCTCCACCAGTCATCGATTTACCGTATGCCTGGCCTAGCCCATGCTAATTCGCATAAATTAGGATCCATGTTTTGATCTTAATGCGAAGTCATAATTTTTCAGAAGCGCGCACTGCTCACTTGCCCAGTATATTTCATTTTTGAAATTATTACCGATGACGCACGATCTCACCACAAGTAAACTATAGGAGATTAGTGAAGAATAACCGCATTTCTGAGGAGCAGGACCTTGCAAAAAAATCAGTGGATACCCTGATATTTCTGAATTCACGTGGATGAAACCGAGTAAAATGAATGGATGAAGTTCTTAGAAATTCCGGGGAAGACGATTTAAATGAGCGAAGATTGAATCAACGTATTCCAGTAGTTTTTACACCATCGTGTGATGAAGAGTAGAAGAGATAGAGCCCTGGTCACGGGGACCTACTGTTCACTCATGGAAACCGGCAACTCAAGCCGCGGAACTTGGACGGGAGAAACAAATAAGACCCCAGTAGCATAGAGCCGGACGGCAGCTAACATGCCTACCATCAAAGTTGGGTGTTGATATTGGCAAGGTTTGAATCTTGAATCCAAAACACACCGGTAACAGTAACTTAAACTGCCCAAACACTGCCACAGTAACTCAAAGCTGATCACTGCCAATGGTGAGGACAAGCACAGGTTCCTGTCGGTCTTGTATAAGCACTTTAAACTTTGGCGCTGCAAAGCACATACCTCGACCACCATGTTGTTGAAAACGTATTGAGCAGCCTGTATTATCATCTAACCGAACGATGTCATCACGTTTTAAATGAAGAACCCTGACTCTGGAAGGATTTCAACTCCACTGTTTGCTGGGCCGGACAAAGTACTCTGTAGAACATACTTCGTAGCAAAGTGCTTGTACAGGACTCGCAAGAGCCTGTACCTGCACTAATCATTTGTGATGATCACTCACAGGTAGTTAAGAAATTTGAATACCTCGGCAACTTGATCGTAGCTGAAGACGATGTTGTTCAAACGGTGCCTTAGGTCATCACCTTGTGGGCCTTAGGATCGAGTCGAGAGGCCGTTCAATGTGGTATTCAGAATATTCCCCGAATCAGTCGGGGAGTACCTGAGTCTGGGCACTAGAAAAGAATGAAGTAATAGAAATCCGTTTGCTAGGCCCAAACGTTTTGTGCACAAAATCGACGAGTTTAAGCATACGAACTGACTTGGTCAAATGTGAGCAATTCGAGGGAATCTGATGTGTGCCTTGATCCCGCTGGAGATAGATGGCGTCCATGGACAGTGAGCTGATCACTAGAGCTTGCGCGCAAACACGCAAGCACTTACACTTTCGCTTTCCTCATCCCGTTGACACAAACCGGAGGTCAAAAAACAAGCAAATGGCTGGCATCCTGTGAATGTTCTGTTTGATATATGAATTTTACGAACATAATTAGGTATCGGTGGAAATAATAGTTCACTTTCCGACGCTTTAAAATATAATGAGAGCAGTCAACTTGCTCGATTACACACGGTCTATGAACTGTACCTTAGGATCAGAACATAGAAACTCCGGGTGCTCAAAAAAACAGGAATAATTACTTAAGAATGGAAGAGAATAGTCACGGTAAACCAGTGAATGGAATGAACGTACCTTCTTGCGTGGTGTATTCTCAGAGCTGGACCCGGAAGGAAATAGAGATCGCAAGAAATCGGTATACACACCGTCTTCTACTGTGTCTTCCGCTTCATCGCCGACCGAATCAACAAAACTAGCCTCCTCCAGAGGTGCCATACTGGAGGGCTCATCAGCCTTGATCCAAACAAAATCATGCTCTGTTGTAGGACCCAAGGAATGAGCGGTATCCACTGCCTCCTCTATTTGGGAAGATCGTTTAGTTGATTTGCAATTATCTCGTTGAGACGCTAATCGTGTTCGATAGGGAGACGTACGAGGGTTAATCAGATCGTCACAGTAGTCATCGACAACCACACTGGAAGGGACAATAGGAGACCCCTCAGACAGTGTAGAACTATCTATATCCGTAACGCCCGATTGATTGGAGTGATCACCGGATGGAGAGAGGACAAAACCTGGTCCTGATGGACTGGAAACTGTGCCAGGGGCAGTTTCGTAAGGAGACCAATCCAAAGCTTGATCACGACGTAATACATAAAGATCCTCTGGACCCGGGACGTAATCTACATCGACATCGGCCGAAACCGCGGAACCGGAGGGATTCTCTTCGGCGTTATCAAGAGAAGCCGCAGCATCAATAGCACCATCATTTTCATCATCATCAGAAAATTCCATGTCCAGAATGGTGCATGCATTTTTACCGGATTCGTTGGACTGACGCGGGAAATAGTCCGGTAATGACTGTTCAATCGTCCGAGCCAAAGACCTGAAACAGGGAGGGATAATTTTACAATTGCGTGAGTATAACTTCCGGTACTGGATTTGTCAATGTGGGGAAAAACTGTCTTATGCTCAGATAACCAGATAAACAAGTAAATAGCTCAAGTCGGTACGAACTTCAAACAACGAATTACCGAAAGTTTAATTAGCAACGTTGATGGGATGAACCCACTTCCGATGGTACAGACTAAATCATTCCAAAGAGATAAGCATTACTGGTTGAAAAAACAATATCAGGATAAAGCGTGGCAGTCTGATCAAAACATGTGAACGAGGAAAGTTGGACAAGCAATGCATCTAGTAGGAATAATTTAGTTACCACCGAAAGGCGTGTACTGTAAGCTTCATAGAAAAAATAGAGGGTGAAAGTGAAATACCAACTTCCACTCACGGTAGACACCGTTTATCGTGGGAAATGAGAGGAAAACCAGCTTCACGGGAACAAATTAAGCAAATTCTTCTCGACGCCCAATGATTTCTGGAATCATATTAAACCATAACAATCAAATATTCACAGGGAAACCTCCCAAATTTGAACACTAATTGCGGAGAAACATACCGAGTGATTACTCTCGGTTCCAGCCCGTGGGAACCAACTATTGCGGTGGGAAGGCCCTGAAGCAACCCAAGATCCTTGGCTCGTTTGACAGTCGTAGCAGACGGGGTGCCCGTTTCCGGTTCGCTCAAATTGATGTAGCGTCGGAACGCCGAAACTACATCTTCGTTCGTCAGGACGGCGCGAAGCAGTTTTTTCACTTCCCTCGCTGGTAGATGTCGATCGACTTTTAGATGTTCTAAGGCTTCAGCCAACGTACTGCCCATAACAGCCTAACAGGGGAAGGTACGTATATGAGATAATAGAACATCGACATCTATACAGTATGGATAAAATCAACACCTATTCTACAATGAAGATCGTCTCGCAAATTGAACACCGGTCATATCACAAAAGGTGGGTGTATCGTCATCATCATCATCATCATAATAGTCATTGTACAGCGAGATACAGTGAAGCATAATTCGCTGATCGCTGTTAAGCTCACAATGTACACAAATCAAGTGATAAAGCACAAACTGGAGAGGGATTGGGTCTAATTGGAGGAAGACAAGAAAGTGAACCTCTATGGTCAACACAGAGTACACAATCTAACTGTGCACACACCTTTTCAAGCATTCTGACCTTATTCGAAATGACAACAAGACCGCCACTGCTGTTGCTTAGTTGCCATGCTCTTCAGTGTCTCCAACCGACCACTTGCAAAGTCCTTTGGATTCAACCTGGAAGACGGAAGACACCTATTCCACCTAATCTCTCTGCGCATTTCTTTATGCCTCGTTTCCTCGTCATCTGTTGATCCCCACGTGGTATCTTCAAACCTGGAGCCGCAACTGCAAATAAGGCGGCGCAGGGTAGACAATGGCTTGGATTGCGCAATACGTGTCCTAACCAGCGAAGCCCACTGCTCTGAATTCGATGGTCAACGAATTATGCATCGAATCATTGCCAAACACGCAACGCCTTACCTCAGAGCTGCTTAAACGCTCGCTCCAGCCAACCCGCACCAAATTACGTAAACATCGGAATTCGAAGACTTCTAGATAAGGAGTATCTTCCACGCATAAATTTAGGGTCTCGCAACTGTAAAATAGAACTGACCGCACACTGGCGCAGTATACACGACCTTTCAGTTTCAACGAAACATCGCAACTGCACCGAAGATGTTTCAGTTCTGCGTATGCTGCTCGAGCCTTGGAAATGTGGGCAGTTACTTCATTGATCATGCTATCATCATGTCACCTAGAAAGGATAAACATTACCCTAAAGCTAATTCTTGACCATCAATAATCAGCGCCGGAGTAGACGATACCCAATCGTTTAGCATCACTTTGCACTTTGAAGGTGCAAAGCGCATCCCAAATGAAGTTACAGAACCTGAAAGTTTGTCAACAGCACTTTGAGCATCCTCCATACATTCGAACAGGAAAACGATGTCATCAGCGTACTCTAAATTGCACAGCTTTTCTCCATCTGCCTATTCAATGCCAACATTTTGCAGACCACTAAGTGCGTTCTTCAGTATTTCGTATATGATTAAACTGAACAGGGATGGCGAAATAGGGAACCCTTGACGAAAACCGCTTCTGGTTTCGAACGATTTGCTTAGTCCACAATAGACCCTTTCGCTACCAATATTGTGCAGGTACAGCGACCGCAATAGGTTTACATACTTCCGCGACATTGCTTTGCAAAGCAACGACTCCAGATAACTTTATGGTAAGCTGAATCGAATGCCCCTTTTATGTCAAGGAACACCGCGAGTGTTGGCCGACGATGTTTGTGATGTATTCGAGGAATTGACGCAGAGTGAAGATTTGGTCGATGCAACCGCGACCTGGTCGGAATCCGGGCTTGCTGTTCGCGGATATTCATCTCCCTTAAGAGTGTCAGGCGGCGAAGTATCAGAGAAGTCAACACTTCTATGATTATCGGAACTAAACTAATCCCACGTAGCCGTTGCGTAATCCCTTCTTGAAGATCGGGACGATCAACGATTCACCCCAGGATAAAGGGATACGCTCCTCCGATAAAATCATGAGAAGTACGCTAGTAATCGGGTCGACGAGGCAGTCACCACCCAGCGTGAATAGAATGAGGAGAGGCTTATCAGGTCCCGATGCCTTCTCTTTCTCTAATGATTGAATGCAGATTCGTACTTCCAAATCTGAAGGGGTCTCACATGTTACCACCAATGGGGTTTCTGCTGCAATTGCTTTAATGCCCGCATTAGTCGTAGGCCAATTGAACGGTTCACTAAAAGCCGTTTTTCTTTATTGTGGATACTCTGTTCGTTTTTATTGCAAATGGTCTCACTGGCCGGTGTGCGATGACCTCCGGTACCGCATATCAGGTGAAACAGTCTTTGACTATTTCCTAATAGTCATTATCATCATTGTACAGCATAACAGAGTGAAGCCAACTTCACTGATCGCTGCCAAACACATAATGCATACAAGGTAAGTGAAAATGTGCACGGAGGACAGGGACTGAGCCTGTTTTTAGGGACGGGAAAGGAAAACGAACTTCTACGGTGAACACACAGTCCAACTGTGCATACACACCATTTCAAGCATTCTGGTTTGATAAGAATTGACAGCAAGATCGCCATTGCTGTCGGTTCGCAGCCAATCATGCAGTATGGAGTTTTGTGGATCCCGACCCAGTTCAGTTCCGTTCGTACAACCATTAACCATGCACTTTCTTGCGCCGGTTTTGGTTGCCCATTTGGATTAGGAATAGGAGAAGAAAGGAAGGTTGAAAGTAGAGTCGAACAGGAAAAGGAGAATTTCAGTGGTCTAGGGTTGCAAAGAAAT